AGGTAAGTTCTCAAGTTAGCCAATATTAAAAAGAAGCTCTTTAGACCAAGACACCCCCTCTCCTACCTGACTCTCCACTTGGCAGCATTAGGTCTGTGAGATAGTCGATAGTCACAGATGTTGGGGTTTCTTCCCCTTTTCTCTGGGATGGTGGCAGGAAGTCCTGTAGCTCAAATCTTTTTCTTTTCCAAAATACTCTGAAAGTAATAAATAGCCAACAAACCTATTTGAATGAAGCTGAGGTGTCATTTGCATGATAAAGATATATTTCCAATTATGAAGTTCATCAGCAAAATTCATGAGAAATGAAGGAATCTCCATTAAAGCACGTGTCCCTTAGCAGCCTCACTTCACTCTGGAGGCAGGAATTTTAAAAGGGGGGGAGGCTGACATTGAAAACAATTCAATATTAAGGTTGATGGCATCAAAAGAACATGGAACGATCATATTAGAATTCAAGGGAAAGATTCTCAAGTGCTTTTTGTCGGCATCATCAGCACCCCCACCCCCCTGCTTTTCCTTGTTCACCCAAATGAGCTGTCAAGAACTGATGGACGTCATCCTAATCAAAGAAAACAAGCTTACCCTTTAAAGCAAAAGAGGTAATTTGGCTGAAAGCAAATTGGAAACATTTCCTATAGCATCGAGTTTCCAGCCTTCATGTCCAAAGAAATCCCTGTTTTTTGCTTTATGCTTGAGAGCTGTGGGAACAATGTAGAGAAGTGTGTCTGGCCAATGCTTTGTTCCGATTCATCTGCTAGCCTCGGGCAGGGATCCTCTATCCTCAGAGGAGCTGGGGAGGCACCATGGCTGCCCAGAACACTTATTGTCAGGAAAAGGCCCCTGGGGAACTCTGTGGATCAGAGGTCAGTAACAGGCTTGAATTCCAGGGAGGCAAGAAGATGTTCCCTTGGGCTGAGTCCTCAGGCCTAAAGAGAGTTTGACTTTTGATCTGTTTTACTTTGTCAAGGAGCCCTGCATCCTTAGCGTCAACTCTGGCCACCTCTCCTCCCTGTCCTTAGTCATTCATATTAGATATTAATTTGATTTCCTTCACTCTGCATTGATTCTGTGGTTGGATGAAGATAGCCTTCTGCAGCTTCACATAGTGCAGTCTCCTCTTCTCTATCTTGGTCCCCAAGGCCTGCTGACCACCCAGGGCCGGTAGCATTTGATCAGCTAAGATTCTTTGATTGCATATTTCATTAGCTAAGGCTTTTGGATCTCAAATAACAGAAACAAACTGAGGCCTAGCAAAACAATGTAGACAAGGCTGACCTGCCAGGGTTTGGAACGGGGACAGCAGCCATAGAGGTTCTGGGGGGGATCTTGGTTGGAAGTATCTTCAAGAACTAACCCAAAGTTTCAGCTCCCGGCATTTCCCATCCGTATGACTTCCCCTCAGCATTCCTGCTCCCCAGAGCAGCAAACGGGGCTTTCTGATGGATGGTTCCCAAGATTGCTGAGTCAGCCTTCTCACTGCACCAGACTCCCTGAGGTGAAGGACATGTAAGGAAGAAAGGTTCATCTGGTCTGGTCTTTGTTGGTGGCTTTGTTGCTCTGGGGCTGTGGAGGGACAGAGTAGCTCAGTCAACTGATGAGAGAGAGAGGCTAAAGCTCCCTTTAAGGGCATACCCTCAATGACCTCAGAGCCTCCCACCAGTCTCCACCTCTTTTTTATTTATTTATTTTTAATATTTTTATTTTATGTGTACGAGTGTATTGCCTGCATGTATGTGAATGCACCCATGTCATGCAATGCCACGGAGGTCAAAAGAGGGCTTCGGATTTCCCTGGAACTGAAGTTAAGGACAGGTCGTAGCTGCCATGTGGGTGCTGGGAATGGTACCCACGTCCTCTGCAAGAGCAGTCAGTGCTCTTAACCGCTGAGCCATCTCTCCAGCCCCTATTTATTTTTGTGAGTGTTATGCCTGCATGTATGTAAGTGCACCTATGTTGTGCAAGTGCAATCGACAGAAGCACTTCCACGGAAGTCAGAAAAAGGCATCAGATCCCCTGAAACTGGAGTTACGGACAGTTGTTAGCCACCATGTGGGTGCTAAGATTCAAACCTGGGTTTTCTGCAAGAGAAGCCAGTGCTCTTAACTACTGAGTCACCTCTCCAGCCCGAATCTTCACCTCTTAAAGGTCAGCCACTTTCCAATAGCACCACAGGCTGGAGACCAAAGCTTTAACACAGAAACTGTATACAGTGGGAGAGAGGCTGTGTCACTGGAGGGAAACCTAGGTGCCTTCACCTGATGGAGGAAAAAGACTTGGGAGACAAAGCCCTAAGTTCCCACTGTCCCCCCAACACTGGCAACTAGAACTCAGGGTTTGAAAGTGAGCCCCCTCTCCTTCCCTCAAAACATTCCCTCCCCACTTCCCTACTCACAGGATGCAGCGTACCCGACAAACTCCTGTTTTCATTGCAATGTACTTAGAAGAAGGGAAAGACCATAAACAAGTAAGCAAGCCCATGTGGAGAAATCAGAGAACCAGTCTGAAGGGGGCAGTGGAGCATGAAGACAGGCAGGCTGAGCCTAGAGGTGGGAATTTGGTACCTAGCCAGGAGTGGCCGGCATTCAGCAGGTGAGATTAGCTGTTTATTGAGCATTCTCCATGTCCATGACTTGTGTTAGAAGCTTCCCGTTGATCCTGAGGATTCCTGCCCTATAGTGGAGGGAACCCAGGCTTGCAAGAGTAACCAGACCCGGGTCCCCAACAAGGACAGGAATTCAAGTGGGGTTGCCTGTGAGGCTCCAGATGCCAGCCACTGTGCTAGGAAAGCCACATGAATGACTGATTTCTGATCTCAGCATGGAATTTTCTGGACATCATTTAGACAAGTTTTTGACTTTGTAATAATTGTGAGTTTACAGAAAATTTGCAAAGCTATTAGAGTTCTCCGTGCTCCCCTAACATTAACTTCTTGTATAAACACCATACATTGTTGGTCAGAACTAAGAAAGTAACATTGATCAACCTGGTGTGGTGGTAACACACCTATAATCCCTGTTCTTGGGAGGTAGAGGAAGGAGGATAGGAATTCAAGGTCAGCCTCAGCCATTTAGCAAGTTGGATAAGATTCTGTTGCATAAGATGCTCTCAAACAAACAAAAATAAACAATAAATAAAATACCATTGGTAGGAGCTGGAGAGATGGCTCAGGGGTCAGGAGCACTTGCTGTCCCTTCTATTCCCAGCACCTACATGGTGACTCTCTCACCCTCTTACGGCCTTTGCAGGCACTACATACATAACCAGTATACATTTACAAATAAATACAAATCACTAAAAAAAAGAAAACCCCACCATTGATACAATGTGTTGTTAACTAAATCATGGACTTAGTGACTTCTCCTTCACTGGTATCCATTTCTGTTGGAGAACACAGTACAGGACACAGATTGCTTTTCCAGGGAAATTGGGCCTGCCTACCTGCCTTCCTCTCTCCCTCCTCCCCCTCCCTCCTTCCTCCCTTCCTTCCTTCTTTCCTTCTCTTTTCTTTCTTCCAAGTATTGGGATTGCAGAGTTCTATCACCATACCTGGTGAAATCATTTATTTTATTTATTGTTTACTTTTGGATCTTTTGAGACTGTAACCCAGATTGGCCTTGAATGCTCAGCAATCATCCTGCCTGAGCCTCTGAGTGCTGGGCTTACAAGTATTGAGTGACCGCACACCCCTGAACACTCAAAAATCAGTGGCTGAGACTGAGTTGGTAAAGCACTTGTTGTCCAAGCATGATGATCAGAGTTTGATCCCCAGCACCCAAATAGGTGAGGACATCAGCAAGAGTGTGGACTCCCAGCACTGGGGAGGTGGAGACAAGAGGATCCCTGGGACTTGCTGGCCACCAGCCTAGCTGAATCAGTGAGCTCCAGGTTCAATGAAAGATTCTGCCTCAGAAAATAAGGTAGAGGAGCTGGAGAGATGACTTAGTGGTTAAGAACAATTGTTGCTCTTGCAGAGGACTGGGGTTCAATTCCCAGCACCAGCTTGGCAGCTAATACTCATTCTTAACTCCAGTTCCAGGAAATCCAATGCCCTCTTTTGGCCTCCACAGGTACTGCATGCATATAGTACACAAGTACATGCAAAACATTCATACACAGAAAATAAAAATTAACTTTTTAAAGCTGGAGAGGGATAGAAGAAGACACCTGACCTCTGGCCTGTACTCACATACACACATATGCACACAAACACACACACACACACACACAAACTCAGGGAAGATACGCTGTTGCCCATCCTGCTTGCTCTCACCCCCTTGCTGGCTGTGTCACATCCTGCCCCTCATCCCAGCCTCCTCTGTGTCCTGGGATGCTGGTCCTACAGACTGTGCCCCAGGTTCTTTTGTCAGTTGGTTTCCCACTGGTTTTTGGCCAACAGGGGGAAGAAACAGGCAGCGGGTGGGGGTGGGGTGGCATTTCCCACTCTGCCATGCCTGTGCTTCTAGCTGTGGTTTCAACTATGGGGCTGGTGCCCCTGGTGAGCCCAGGCCCCTACATGCACCACCTCCTCCTTGTGTGGTTTCTTGCTGTTGACAGCTGCTGGATAGCTTCACCTTGCTGAAGCTGGCCTCTCCACTTTACTGTCACCTGGGTAACCAGTTCCCCATATGTAAGTCCTCAGAACAGTGGGGCTCCCTGCATGGTACACAAGCCTGAGAGTCACCTCCACCTTTTGTCCTGCTACCCTGCTGGTCCAAACACTATCACAGAGCTAAAAGCCAAGCCAGGTGTGGTGCAGCACACCTGAAATCCCAGCACTTGGAAGGTGGCGGCAGGAGGATCAGGAGTTCAAGGCCAGCCTGAGCTACATGGGATCCTGTCTCAAAACACAAAAACAAGCCGAAAACAAAGCAAAACAACACCCAACCAAACAAAAAAGCTAAAAGCAACTTCAATTCCTAGGTCAACTGCAATGTCCACATGTGGTCACTGTGGCCACCTTAGCAACCGGATCTCACAGCCACCCCTTCCCTTTGCAGGGTTGCTGAAGACAGCGAAAGCTGGAGGCCCAAGAGTCTATCATCTCACTGTCAGGGAGTACAAAGGCCAAGCCAAATGCTCCCAAGATGGTGTTGGACATCCTCACCCTAGCTCCTTCCTGCCAGTGGCTAGCCATCCAAAGAATCCCACTGAAGACGGAGATAGTGCCAGCTGAGCCACTGAAGCCTTTGATCCCCTCCAAGTCCAAGCTCACCACCGTTGAGGCCAAGAGGATTGTGTCTGTGCTGGATAATGCCATCCAAAAGGTGGAGCTGGTGACCCTGTTGTCCTACCTAGAGTTACAGCCAGAGGCCCTGGAGGGAATGTTGCCGGAGAACCTGGTGAGGGCCATGAGAGAGCATGTGGATCTTGGGCAGGCCCTGTTGGAGGGTGCCAGTGTCCTGCAGGAAAAACAGAGGCAGCTGGAGGAGGAAGAGGACGCTGAGCAAGTCTGGTACCAGGACCAGCTCCTCTCCATAGAACTGCAAAGCATTAGCCTGCAGCCACTGGCACACCAGATCCAAGACTCCACCAAGAACATCCTGAGGCTCCTGCTCAGGGAACCCCAGGCCACCAGGCTGCTGCAGATGCAGGCCCCAGGCAGAAGTGCAGGGGCCCAGCACCTCCTCCATGGCCTGGTGGAACTGCGGGGCTTTCTTTTTGAAAAGCTTCTCACCAGCCCCATGGAAGTGAGGGAGAGGGCCCAGTTCATACAGGAAGTCAACCGGAGGAACAAAAGGAATCAGGAAGTCATCGATGCTCTCCAGGCTGAGCTGGCAGAGGTGCTGAAGAGCAGGGATGCAGAGGTACAGAAGGAGCACCTGAGGCGCCAAACCCCTTGGGGGTCGGGGCTTTTTTCCTCAGGGATTTGAATAGTTTTCTCTTCATCAATCCTTAGAGGGAGGTTGCTTTGCTCTTTTTACTGGTAGGCAGGGCTTGTAAATAAGCCCACATGCTTTGAGGCTGTAAAAGAGCTCACTACAAAAGGTAAGTATTAAAGGAACTTACTTGATTACTGTTTTGAGAAGTACAATGAAGGATAAGGACCAAATGCTATAAGGAGATGATACAAGAGAACCCAATTTAGACCAAAAGTGTCGAGGACATTGACTCCAAGCCACAAAGACAGGGAGTGAGCTAGACACTGAGGAAGAACTTCCCAGCCAGGGGTGGCAAACAAGCATCTTTCGGACTCCACAGCCACCTGCACTCATATGCACACACCCACACATATATGCACAATTTAAAAATAATATAAAGAAATTAGATACATAGGAGTTCTGAAGCAAGAGAAAAGTGTATTACAGAAAAGAAATACAGGACGGGGGTGGCTCACTTGAGTATACTTAACACACAAGCATGAGAGTCTGAGTTCAATCCCCAGAACCCACTTTATATGTGGCAGTGCACATCTCAGCACTGGTTGTGGGCGGGGGGTGGATCCATGAAGCTTGATAGCCAGCCAGTCTAACTTAACCAACAGGCTACAGGTGAATGACAGAGGTAGCAGAGGTAGGTGACTCCTGAGGTTGTCCTCTGACCTACATTCTCTCTCACACGTGTGCGCGCGCACACACACGCACACACACACACACACACACACACACACACAC